AACCAAGTAAAACCAATTCGGATTGGAAATCTTTTGCGATTGTTTGTGAATAGCCAAATCCCACATATATGGAGTTTCTGCTGATTCTGACACTGCAGACAAACAGAAGTGCTTATCCAGTTGGAGTAACTAAATTTGTCATTTGTGAATATCCAAAGAGGTTAAAAGTGCTGAAATGCTGTTCAGTTTACATTTAGTATTTAGTGAACAGACCCCGCAGGGTTTGAGGTTTTGTGTTGGTGCAACCCAAGGTCCTGTCAATGCTGAACTCATTACAAAGCCCATTGCTCTGCACTAGGAGGTGACTGCAATGGGCCACAGCAAATAGTACAGAGTCAAGCTTACTCATTGCAGCTCTTGCTATCGTAAAGTGTGGTAAATGCAAAGCTGAATTAGGACCCTGTCTGGAACCCTATGAAGTAGTAATCTGACTGTGTGCCAAGAGCATTAAATATAAAGATGCCCCTACATCTCCCCATTGCACTTTAAGTATAAATATCAGCTGAAAAAATGACTGTTATTGCTACCAATAAACATATAAAACCATTCATCACAATAATAGCATGCAGTTTACAATGATACCAGAAACAAATGTGGGACAAGTCTCCTGAGTGAGATTTACTAACATAATATTGCTATTGAAAAAATGTTACTGAATGTGAACGTAATGAAGTACTACGGAATGTTTCTATATATGTAATATTAGTGTTTAAATGTTCTAAATGATAAATGAACCCCTCCCCCCAATTTATTTTTTAAATGTTAATCTTTTTTTTTTTGTAAATGGAGGCTAGTGGTGAATTGAAAACATAACTTTCAAATTCAGACCAAAATAATGAAGCTGGAATTGGAGAAATTTCCCAAATCCTGTTTTGACTTAAATTTTACAATTTAGCTTTCAGTTCCTCACAAAACCCTGTTTAGTAATTAAATCCCAATGCACCACAAGCTTTTTCTTTTAATCATCAGCATCTTTGGGAGAGCAGCCTGTGGCTTTCAGTCTCCAGCCATACATCACAAAGGACTGGGTGCCCTGATAAGATATTGCCATCATACATTATATGAATGCCGTTGCTATGGTAATGTATACCCACTATACATCACAACCATGACATCACTCTGCTAATAGATTGCTAGAAACACAGTCTACATCACGAAGAGCAATACTTTCCCTTATAAACAGTTTAATATAGATGGGAAAACACATTGTAAATACATTTTAACCCTACAGAAAATGTTTCTAAACTCTCTGGAAAAACAAAGCTTTTATGATTGATTCAACAAGCTGTGGTGTATTGATTGCAGACTTAAAATATTGATTCATATCAGAGTTGTAAAAATGGTTAATTCAGCAAATTTGGAAAGTTTTTTAAAAATCATTTAAAAAAAATTCAGTTTTAATTTTGCTAAGTGGGAGGTACCAATTCGCTGTCAATAAACAAGAAAACAAAAAAGAATTAAGGACAATATAATACGCAATACATATGTTTATGTTACTAAAACATACATAGATACATACATACATACATATATACATACATACATACATATATATGGACACGGGGGTACAAGGCACTCTCTTATCAATATACAACAGTCCCCTAGAGGAGGGGTGCCCAACCCAGTCCTCAAGTACCCCCTACCAGTCCAGGATTTAGGGATTACCCTGTTGTGTCTTAAGTGCTTTTTGTTTTTTCCCCAAAAACACCTTAGACACAACTGAGTAATCCTTAAATCCTGGACTGTAAGGGGGCATTGAGGACTGGGTTGGGAACCACTGCCCTAGAGCATTAGTTCCAAACACAGTCCTTAAGTACCTTCCCAGGATTTAGGGATTACTCAGTTGTGTCTACGGTGTTTTTAGAAAAAGGAAAAAAAATTACATTAGACACAACAAGTTTATCCCTAAATCCTGGACTGATAGGGGGTATGTGAGGACTGGGTTGGGAACCCCTGCCGTAGAGTATTCCCCAAATCAATCTAAAAATACATAAAATATGGCAAAATGGGTTGTATGATGTGCTCACTCAAAAACAAACAAATGTAGTAAGGTATTTTATATCATTGCTTACAGATTATATTTACAGAGGCTTCCAGTCCTATCGAACAATAATACTGAAGTATAATAAACAACAGCAAGTTAAAAAATGGTGCTGTGAATTACTTTCAGTTTTTCTTTTTTTCATGTGCAATATTATGGAGTTGGGATGACCACGATAGTACAGAGCACTTTATTGACACACGTGTGTTTAAATGACTGTATTTAATAAATATGTTTGCTAGTGAAATCCTCATACAATAAATCGCTTTGATGGACCTATATTCATATCATTGTATTTAATAGAAATTGATGATGTAACTGAATATGATCATGGAAAAATTATGAACATTAAAAGGAAATATCCACTTTGCAAGATTTTTTATATTATGTTTACTTATCTCTACATTTAACACATAAGCATTTGATCTGTCATTAGGACCTGGAAGTCATACAATGTTTCCATCTTCCCTTCTCGTTTGCATTGTTTGACCTGTGTTTGCCGATATCTAAATTGAATTGTGGTGTAGTGCTAATTGAGAAAACAGCATATTTTATGAAACAAGTTATAAGTGATTTTTAATGTTCTACTCAGTTGTGTATATCCCAGAGAAGTGTCAATGCCCATTTAAATAAAAAATGGAAAAAATATTTGTTTCAAATTACCACTGGAATGAGTGTACATTTAAATACACATCTGTTTTTGTTTTTTAACTAAAGTAAGATTTCAAAGTGAATTCAAAATTAATTTCAAATTTAAGGCCAGAGTAGCTGAATAGAAAGCAGAGCTGACTTAGATCATTTTTCCTATTCTGCTATTTTGACTTTAAATTTGAAATTCTCTTTGAATACACCTTGAATTCTCACTTTAGCGAATAACCCTCTAAATGAAATACTATAATTTTCTGAGTGTTGGCTCCATACTTGATCTTCTCACGTTAATATAACATTAGGGAGCATTCAATATATTTCTCCCTCCTTGTCCTCTATCCATTTGTTGCCAATGATTGTTATCTCTTTTTTTAAAAATTGTTTAAATTGCATACCTCTAGCCCACATTTGACTTGACAGTTAAATGAGTAAATCCAGTGCTTTAGATCAGGAAAGAATCCAGTGGGCACTCTTAATGCCTGGTGAATTAGTGTCAAGATATAGGCAATCCATCATTTTATTCTAAAATGCTACAAGGAATCCTAAAAAAAGAAATTATGTTTTTATTATTATATGAACAGTCTTTTGATATACTAGTCCTTTCATTAAACAGCCATGGAACTTTGCAACATTAATAATATATTGATACACACTGTGGTCTTATCATACTCCACCAGCACATTCCAATGGACAAGTCTCTTGGAAGAAAGATCCATCCTTAAATATACATATTGCCTGAGTTCTAGATAGCAGCATAGGGAGGAGCAGTATTAATCACTCATTAGACCTTTGTATTTTACTACATCCGTTTTTATGTCTATCCAGTGGTAAAATACAGATTGAGAGTAGGGTGATTAGAATACTATGGGATCCACATAATTCATCCTATATGGAATGTGCTATGCCTTATGCTATCCAAGCATTTGCTTGTACATTTATCATAACGGCAGTTTTCTTAGATTATATCAAATGAAAATAATTTGGTAGTTGTCTATTAAACCCCCACCACTATATTCCATTCCATCCTGAACGGAATGGCAGATGGTTTTATTCTGTAGAATAATGGGCAAGAGCCATCATTTCTAATGCACTCTTAACACAAACACAAATTGAAAAATGTTCTATGTTAGAAAATGTTTTTCCAAATGACTTTGAGCTTATTGTAACCAACAAAGGCTGTCCCTCTGCCCCCTCCCCCAGTCTGCCTGAGAACATCAGATATTGTTTTCATAGATTTCACCCAAGAAAATTTGAATTTTATTAAAGAAACAGAGGCTCCTATTATGCATTCTCCTTCTTTATTATACTCCCAGCAGCAAGAAAAAAGGGAAGTGAGCAAATCATAGAAAAAAAAGAAGACCATAACAATAGCCTGGTAACGGTAGCACCAATCAGCATCCAGTATAATCCATATAGGTGTAGTGCTCCATGACTCCTCCTCTTTCTTGCTGCTCCCTCAGACAAATTAAGTACCTCATCTTGCTACTCCTATGATCTCTTATACATTTATTTGTATTTGCTAATTCCTATACATTATTTGGATGTTCTTTAGATTGTAAATTAGTGTACATTTATTGTATATTTATTGTCAGTTCATACTGTCTTACTGTGGTGTATATCCTTCTGGTGTCAGGGGAGTGCTTCCTCCCTGCCCTCACCTTAGGGTCGTATTTTCCCTTATTTTCTCTGCTGGGTGACTTGTGGTAACTCAGCAGTTTTCTGGTGCTTGTGTTTACACCTCTGGTTTATGCCCGCGTCCTGTCCATTTAGTTTCACTTTCCCCTTACAGTTCGGCCGCGCATGCGCAGTTTGTGGCGCAGCGGCCATCTTTTTGGTTTCCGTCGCCGTGAGTGTAGCTTTCACTCGCGGTGGCCATTTTAAATGTGATTTCGGTGGGAAACTGACGCATAACGAGCTTCAGCTCATAATGGCTTCTCCACCCGCCTAAGCACTCTCCTAAGGCCCAGACTGGGATATCATTGCTGTTTTTGTGGTTATTGCGGCCAAACTGTAAGTGTGGTGTGGAGGATTATTCTATCCTGACACCCTTTTCTGTTTTTCTCTCTAAATAGTTAGTTCTTTCCTTTACAGGCTACTAAAACTTGTTTTTACACTTAAGCACCTAGCCAATATTAATAAGGCTATTTTACTGGGCCCAATATCTTGTCACTAGTTGGACTTGGGTATATATATTCCCTGTATAGATTTTATCTGCTAAATGCAGGATCAGAGTGAGAGACCTTCAGGGTCTATGTGCCCCACACCAAGTGTTTCCCCCTCTAACAAGGGAGGTAAAGGTGACGCTAGCCTCATGGCATCGGAGGAATTTCAATCCCTCCTAGACTCTACCATGGCACAGTCCATTAACAGAGCTTTAACCTCTGCGATGGGGGTAATGTCATCCTCTATCACTCAGTCTATAACAGAGGCATTGATACAGACACAGACTAGTGGCATGCAGAACACACGCAACCCGGGACCCACTAACATGGCACAACCGGGACGCAAGGCTTTGGCAAAGAGCAGACATGTGGCCTCCCCTCCAGAACTGCAGGTTCAGCCTGCATCGAATGACACGCCTCAGGCTGTCAAAGATGGCGCGATACCACCGCGCACTGGAGCCCCTGGCCAGGCAAAATCGACCAGAGCTTGGAAACGGGCACGTGCCCATGGGGATTCGTCTAATTCGGACCGGAGTTTGGAGGAGCAGTATGATGACTCCTATATGGACCACTACAGTGCTTAATTTTCAGATTCCGGGTCTGACATAAAAACAGGTGTTGCGACCCAAAAGACTACGGCTCAGGGCGCTCAGTCTGCTGACTCGGGCGAAGGCGACAATTTGCAGGACCCGCTGGGTAACCTGTTATTTGACCCAGATAACCTCCGTCACCCTCGCTCGGCAGCATGGGAGCCGCCTACACACATCGCGAAGTACCTCGCACGTTGGGTGCGAAAGCCTTTATCTGAAGAAGGGCACAATAAGTTATGGGCAGAATGCCCACGACCCATCCTTCCAGACTCGGTGGAAAAAACACCTGACGTGGACCCTCAGTTGGTCCAATTCTTGAACAAGTCTGGTTGGAAACCAAGGAAGGGCTTAGACATTTCCCTCCGGAACTGCCAAGACAAATTCCTTTATACTTTCGGACCCATATCTAAACTGTATGAGCTAGTGGAGTCCGCCCAATCGGTTCGAAAGCAAATTTGATTTCGAAGTAGCATTAGGCTGGTTGCAGAGATTAGTCTGCATGGTGGGTAACACCAATACGGCTATGGCTACCGAACGTCGCAAGGCGATTCTCCTGAAAATAGAATCCAAACTGGCCAGCATGGCACCAAAGACGCCGGGCCCAACTGCTAAAGGCTTACTTTTTGTTGAATCCTTTATTAAGGATCTTGGGCTGTACGTAAAGACATTTACAGCAATTGATAAAGCTCAAACATCTCTTAAGAGAGTATTCGCACCTCGGGTTTTTGGACGGGCCGGCAGAGGAAGGAGCCGTCTACCCGGCAGTGGATTTCGAGTCTCAACTAGAGCCAGCAGAGGCTCCTTTAATAACCAGAGACCAGTCCCGGAGCAACACTATACCCCATTCTTGCCATCTCAAGGGACGGCCCTGGAATTCCCGCGGACCACGGGGGTCTGTTTCAGGCAGACAACCTTATGGTGAGTATCGAGTATCTCTATTTTTCCCATGTAAAAGTGGGAGGCAGACTGGCATTGTTTCATCATTCTTGGAAAACTTTAACCGCAGATGTTTGGGTATTAAATACGATACAAGGGTACCTATTGGAGTTAACCTCCCACCCGGTTCAGACGCAGTTCCCTCGAGAACTAAATATGACTGACCAACACAAAACGATGATCCCAGCAGAGATCGCAGAGTTAGCGTCAAAAAAACGCTATCCAACAAATCCCATGGGACACAGAAGGGTTCGTGAGCGTTTGTCCAGTACCACCATTTCAAAATGGAGGGTATTCATTGCCTTCGGGACCTCCTGATACCATCAGATTGGATGGTCAAAATAGATTTACGGGACGCTTACCTGACAATCCCTATTGCAGAAGCGCATCAGAACCTACTGCAGTTTCAGTGGCAGGGAACGAAATGGAGGTTTGTATGTCTGCCATTTGGCTTATCCTCTGCTCCATGGTGCTTCACAAAAGTGCTGAAGCCAGTGATTGCCTTCCTGCGCACACGAGGGGTCAGTTTAATAATTTATCTAGACGACATCCTTCTTCTGTCCCAGTCTCAATCCCAACTATGCATTCACCTATCCTGGACGACACACCTTCTCCAAAACTTAGGATTCTTGGTGAATTGGGAGAAATCAATTCTACAACCCTCCAGATGCATGGAATTTCTGGGTTTCCAAGTGGACTCTGTCCAACAGAGATTGTGTCTCCGCAAAGACAAAATGATTTAGGTCAAGAAAGAGATCAGACGACTTATGCATCGTACGACCATTTCCCTCCAACAACTTGCGAGGATCATAGGGCTGTTGGCATCGTCCATACAGGCTATCTTCCTGGGACCATTACACTATCGTGCCCTACAAAGGCTCAAAGCCTCATTCCTACACTCCGGTCACTCATACGAAACCTGTGTTGTACTGGATGAAGACTCCAGGGAAGAGCTGGACTGGTGGTTAGCCCACATGGAGGCATGGAACGGACAGGTGATATTTGGATCGACACCATCATAGACATCATAGAGTCAGACGTCAGCTTACACGGTTGGGGGCGCGCTTTGTGGGTGAGTTTCCACCAGTGGCAGATGGTCAAACGAAGAATCGATGTTACACATCAACTGCCTAGAACTATTAGCAGCATCCTTTGCCATTCACAGTATGACCCCCACAGGCATTTCATGCTCGATCTTAATCAAGATGGACAACATCTCAGCAGTGCTTTATATCAACCACCTAGGAGGGACGAAATCGAAGGTTCTTGCTCTGATGGCTCGAGATTTTGGGCACTATTGCCTGGAACACAGCATTTCGGTAATAGCAGAATACATTTCGGGGCAGGACAATACGATGGCGGATTGGAACTCCCGAAACCTTCAGGACGCAGGGGTTTGGCATCTCCACCCAATAATTTTTCAGCGCCTGTCTCGACTCTAGGGGCCTTTCAATATAGACCTCTTTGCATCTCGTCTGAACACCCAGCTTCCTCAGTTCTTCAGTTGGAGACCGGATCCAGATGCTCTAGCGACAAATACATTCCTACAGGACTGGACCAAGGGCAGGAACTATGCTTTTCCCCCTTTCAACCTCATTTCTCGGACCCTGGCGGTCCTTCGATATTCCAGGGGGATGCTGGTGCTGGTAACCCCAGTATGGCGGTCACAACCTTGGTTTCCTCAGTTATTGGAAATGTCGATAGATTTCCCACAGCTGTTGCCGGACATTCCCTACCTCTTGACCAACCCAGAGGGAATGAGTCACGAACTGGCCGACCAGGGTCTTCTTCAACTGATGGCATGGCTCATTTCAGGAGATCATGGAATCTCAAGGAGGTTTCGCAGATGACACTCAGTCTCTTGGCAGAGTCGTGGGCACCAGGTACCAGACATGCCTATGGGTCGGCTTGGAAAAAGTGGACTGATTGGTGCGTGGGACAGTCAATGGATCCCATATCAGCTCCTACAAAAGCAATCCTACAATTATTACTCTACTCTTTGAGGAAGGAAAAGCCTTTCGTACTATAAATCTGTACAGATCAGCCATAGCAGGTAGACATATGGGGTTGGGTGGCACCCCAATAGGTAAACATGCTCTTATCTGTTGTTTACTCAAAGGCATCCGTCTTACTCGACCTCCTCAAACGCGATATTCTTCCTTTTGGGATGTCAATATGATTTTTCATTTGATCGAATCTTGGCCATTGAACCAGGAATTTTCTCTAAAGCAATTGTCGGCCAAGCTGTTGATGCTGTTTTGTTTACTTTCATGTTAACGGGTTGCTGTTGTCAGAGCGCTAGACTGGCATGCATGTGCTTTTGTCCCAAACGGAGTATCCTTTAATATTTCACGTAGGACAAAATCCTCGACTAAGGAAGTTTTCTACCCGTCATTTCCGGACAACCCAAATTTGTTCCCTGTGTTATGTCTGAAGGAATACGAGCATCCGTCCAGAGCAAACCCATCAATTATTAATCTCATTCAAAATACCTCACCTACAAGTATCTACTCCTACTTTAGCTCGTTGGATCAAATGGCAGGCATAGACACCTCAATTTTTTCCTCACACTCCATTCGTGGGGCTATGGCCTCTAAAGCTTCCATGATAGGTTGTAAATTGGAGGATATCCTACGGGCAGCCGACTGGTCGAATGAGTCTACATTTTGTAATTTCTATTTTTGCCCAGTGCAACACATTTCCAGTTGAGTGATGGCTCAGCTTTAAAATAGCATAATAGGAGCCTCCGTGTCTTTAATAAAATTACCAGATTTTACTATTAACATGACGTAAAGTCATGATTTCATTAATGACACGGAGGCGAGTTTTATTCCCACCCACCCTACCCAGGGTGGTGATTAGGTTGCAACCCAGACATGGGACTTTAGGATGACTTAATACGGTAGGTACAAGATCATTCATGGCCCAGGTGAGTAAGTATTGAATGAATATGACTTATATGATACTTATTTTGATTTAGCAACATGGTTGACGAACTTGATATATTTACATCAATTGATTAACGTGGTTGACGAATTGTTAATTGCGGAATAGCAGTCACGAGATTTCAATATTACCATATTTTTCTTCTCTTTTAGCTTGAATACAACTTGAGAGTTGGAGGTTAAAACTGTTCTATATTGAAGTTCCAGTTATGGTTTTGGTTTGTGAATTCGTATTTCTGGTTGGAATACCTTGGGATTTGCAATAATGGTCTTCGGGATCTATGCAGAAAGAGGAGGCGTCAAGGAGCACTACACCTATATGGATTATACTGGATGCTGATTGGTGCTACTGTTACCAGGCTATTGTTATGGTTTTCTTTTTTTCTATGATTCTCTCATACTTCCCTTTTTTCTTGCTGCTGGGAGTATAATAAAGAAAGAGAATGCATAATACTCGCCTCCATGTCATTAATAAAATCATGACTTTACGTCATGTTAATAGTAAAATCTGGTAATTTAATATATCTATTATATTTTCCACCAAAGTGTTGAGAGTGCCATTTTATAAAATCAATATGTATCTGCTTGAATTGCTGTCCATATTAAACTATATGATTGTAAAGTCGTTATTTATAGTGTAATTATTTTAATTAGTTGTCAATAATAATAATACATAGTATTAACACATATTTTTTCTTTAATATTACCCGACACCCTTAACAGGATTTAATTTTTACGCTAGAATGCTAGGGGAGTGTCAAAATCAGTAGAAAAAAGTAGTGGTTTCATGGAGTAGCGGCTAGGCAGAGGTGGCAATCTCTCTTCTTCATAATTAATTCCAGTGTATCAAGATGGTTCAAAACTAAAGAGATTATCTACGAAATGGCTATAAAGTAAGATTCCGTCGTTTATTTTCTAACACAAAAATTCAATGGAATATTTCAAAACGTGGGCAACCTGATATTTCTTAGTTAGGGTTAAATTAATTAACTGATCTTGGAAAAAATGAAATATAATGAAATATAAGATTCCTTATAGGAGTTTCATGAATCAATTGGTGAAAAAATGCCTTTTGCAGGTGTCTCATTTATGAAAGTGTTTGAAAAATATTTC